CCTGCCAATTCAGATTTTATCATATGCAAATAAAGAGGATAAACATTCTGCAAGTTTTTTTTTTTATATTGCATTTATACACATTTGTTGCTTTAAAATGTGTATTCAAGTCTCTCAACATTTAAACATGACTAAAATGCTCAGCAACTATGCATCGAGTGACAACTAATTATTGCTATAGAAAAATTTGTTTCCCAGAGTTTTAAAATATATGTAATTTCATTTGCAATTCTCAAGGTATGTTCAGGTAATAGAAATAACTAGTTCCAGTGTCCATGAGGCATTCTGAATCTGTATTGGCTGTAGGCATTTATTGCCAGATCATATAAATATTTTATTGAATCTAAAAAGGTTAACTAAGCTTACATATAACTATTAAATTCCTTAGGAAATGTATGCAGTAATAAATCACCACAGTATGCGTTTTTATTTTAAAAAGCTAAAACTTTAGCATCAGGCTACCTTGAAATTCCTTTCTGTCAAAGGGCACTATTTCACAGTCAGCTTTAGAGAGGAAAAGAGAAAGTAAAAAATCCAAACAACCTTTTCAGTTGGATCAGTGAGCCACTCCAACTCAGTAAGTGGTCACACAAGCCCTAGAGCTGACAGATGAGTGAGAATACACAGACAAGAGTATTGGGGGCAAACAGGGAAGTTAGAGTACAAGATCAAAGCATGGCCTGCTGCCTAAATACCGTATTAAGCCAGTAACAAAATGCAAGACATGTTGCTATAAAAAGAATATAACCTTCAGACATTTCTGAAAAAGCAAACTTTCTCTGTATTTCAGCCAGCTATGCCTTCAGTAATGTTTTACACTCTTAAAAACCAGAAGATAGAAATGTCAAGTTATAGTGTATAGTGTTTTAGTTCCAACGCTCAACATATTAGAACTAAGATTCAGTTCTGAAACCACCATTACATGGCAGAATGAGGCATTTCAACCTTACCAGTTTTGGAATATGAAATATCCCAGTATTTAAAGAATAATCAAAACCTGTATTTGGAGAGCAAATGGGAGCCAGGGTACAAGAAGCAGATGGTACTTTGGCTGCACAACTGGTATTATTACACATAAATCACCAACTAGACTAGGAAAATTACTGCGGATGTTCTTCACCACGTATACAATACCCATTAAGAACAGTAGTTTGACAATGGGCTATGGCGACACAGGATGAAGAGTCAGTCCTAAAAGGCATAGATTCAGAACAGTCACTATTTAAACCTACAAAATATAAGCTGTGCAGCTTGCTTTCCCCTTCTCCCCATTAGTATTAAATAAAAGACCTTGAAGTTCTCTTACAAATGGATTTTCCATTTAAATTCAAAATTGCGTTATTGCTGTTTCCTCTGTTTTTAATGACGGTCTTGCTGGGAATGTGGAAATCTAGAATAGGAACTCTTAAAATATGTTGGTAACTGTTTTAGAGCAAGTTTTTCTTCTCAGCTGTTTTTTCAAAGCCTTTGGATGCAGGAGATGTCCAAGTTTTAAACAGTCTTACCAAAATAAACAAGTTCATTTCTGAGTGTTGGTAGCTCTGAAGCCAATCAGTTCTCTAGTTACACAGCCTTCCGTGAAAGACAGAACAGACCAAAACATGAATTCCACATGCAACAATGTAAGTTCTTAAAAAGCTCCAACAAAATGAAAAACTAGCCGGTCACAGTCATATACCGAAAAAGTATACCTTTTGCACGTCATTTTGAATTGCTCAGAAAGTATGTTGGGGAACCATCTTCCTTAGTAGCTGGGAGCACAGGGCAAAACTCCTCACCCATCACTTTAGTAAGCAATCGTCCTATTTCAGTTACGCTCCGAAAGGGGAAAAAAATAGATGTAATTATTCCTAGGCAATGGCATCATTCTTTCTCAATGAAAGGTGAAAAAAAACCTGCTCTGCCTTGTTGATCTATAGAAAACAAATACTTTTATTTCTTAAGTTGCTGTTATTTTCATTCACATAGTAACGGTAAAAAAACAAATCACGACATGAAATAAAACTTTGTCCTCGGGCAGGAGGAGAGAAAAAAATTATCATCTCATAGATATCTTAGCAGATGACAGCTGAACTTAAAGAAACTCAACAGTGCAACAGAGCATCTTTGCATGTCTTTCTAAAGATAAAACTTTCAAAGTTGGTTTCGGTGAATTAAAATATCTGACATTAATAAAAGCAACCATGTAACTAACAGAGTAGTAAAAGTTAGAGAAAAATCAAGACAACAATGAGAAGTTCCAAAAAGGTCCCTAATTCCACAGGGATGGATCTCAGTAAAGATGTGAAGTTCGAGTTTCAGCAAAATTGTTTATGACAAGTCCTTATGAGCGTGGAAAAAAGTTAAGCCTGAAAAGTGGTTACTGAATACCATTTTTATTAATATACACTTCAGATCACCAATAGAATGAATGTAATTTTTCTCTCAGATAATCAGTAAGATGAAGGGGAGCTATACTTTAAAAGTTCACATGACAGGATTCTTGAACTGCATTTTGGTATTGGGCTTCTTCATCAAGCTGAAGATTCTAAACAAAATGAAAACATCATCAAAATGGACAAATACTCAAGATGTACCATAGTCCTTAGTTTAATCATTCATCTTCCACATTTTTACACAGGAATTGGCACCTAGATGAAGACTCCCCATCTCTATGTGTACTGGATGCTTGTTTATGTTGCACAGTATCTTTTATTTAACCAAGTACCAAGAGATACATGAGACAGGAGAAGAATCAGATGAGTGGGACAAGGCTCATTAAACAGAAGGGTCCATCTTCTCTCCCTGGCTCAATTACATTACAGAACAGCCAGCTCAGGAAAGCTGACTGTGTCATGCAATTCTTATAACAGGGCTTCCAACCAGCCATAACATCCTCCATTAATAGAAACGAAATGTGATCCCCAGACAACAGTAATCACAGATTGTTGAGAATATACTGCTTAAAATGAGAAAGCAAACATGTATCACAAAAGATGGGTGGTTAACCCTGCTACTTTTGAAAAGCTGTCTTTGAAGTTGCTAATACGCCAGAGTAATGCACCTTTTTAGTGCAATTCTGACAGCTTCCCCAAATCAGAATTCCAATCACCAGTTCTACATCCTCAAACATGCAAGATGCAGTCATGTTGAAGAGCCCAGTCCCCTAGCTCTTCATGCCTTTGTCACAGATCACTCAACACAAAGAACAACATGCATCATCTTTGCCACCTTTAACCAGTGAGGCTGCCTATGCCTCAAATACTGTGCTCGTCCCACACAAAGCTCAAGCAGTGTACCCCAAAGCCTGTCAAACTCTGTAGAAACTACAACACGAACTTTCCAGCTCTCTGGTCCCATATGCAGAATTCAACTGGTTGGCTTGACTTACGATCCACCCAGTGACTACATCTGTGTATGTAGTTCTGCATCTACTCCAAGGTCATTTACTCAAAGTGAGCCTGAAAGAAGGCAACCAGAACAATGATTTAATGACACATCTCTTTTTCACATTGCAGCCTCACTCGCAACATACTGGCATAGAGGCTGTAGCAGCAATACCAGCTAGTCAAGCTGCACTTTGAGTCCTGAGAATTATGATTTAGCCATTTCTGCCATAAAAGGTCAAAAATGTCAATAAAACAGAGTAGCATCTATTTTGTTTCCCCCAGAAGCAGCAGTAATAAACTGTTCTGGAGGAATAAATAGTTCAGATTGAGAACACTAAGCTAAAGACTTAAGCCATCAGTTTGGAGCAGAGCTTAACTGTTGACAAAACCTATTCCCGGTAGCACTTCATGTTGATAACAGAAAGTTTAAGAACAGACAGGCCTGCTTCTGAGTTCTGTACAGAGCAGGAACATAGCATGTCCAGAGCACAAACAAGTTTGGTACACATTTTTTATTTGGCATTTTTATTTATAGAAAGAAGTTACCATTTATTCCCCTACACATCAAAGAAGAAAAAGCTTACCACAAATTCTCCGTAGTCAAACCGGTGTCTTAGATTTAGATGGCTAACAAGATTTCTAGTAACCTGGTTAGTATCTGCCCAAGGGAGAGATACACAAATAGGACAGATCTGAATTTGGAGGGGAAGGGGAAAGAGAAAGAATTAAAAAAAAAGTTATTGGTAATACAGAATGCATTAAAGACGTTCTACAGGAATAACTAGTCTATTACTCATCCACTACCAAAATACAGTAAAGATGTTCACATAAAATTCTAAGTGTTCTTTTCCTCAATTGTGTAACATTCAAAAATTACATTTCAACTTGCCAAATTTCTTAAGTGTTTCTCTTAGGAGTGGGGGACTATCACATCTGTCTGGCACTCTTTTTGTCAATTTCTGTTGCTTAGAATTTAGAAAACAAAGTGATTACTGCATCCTACTTATTGTTTGGGAGGATTTTCATACAATTGAGATGATCAAGTAAGCCAAAAGAAAAAATAACACACCCTATACAGATGAAAAGAACAAAAAACCAAACAGATTTTTCTCCTTCACTCCCTTCGATTACCTTAGATTACTTTTCAAGTAACTGTAGGTTTCACATGAAACAATAGTTACGTTACAAGTGGGATTCTATAGAAACAGTTCTGAATTATAAAATGAAGAAGAGTGTCAGGCTCAAAAACTGAGTTTGTTTCACATCAAAATAAATGAGACGGCTAAGTCAGAAATGCCTTAGAACCGGCAAGAAGCTGGACAAGAAACATTTTCAAATGAAAGTCACTCCTCAAGTTAAATAACGCACTGCATTAAGCATATTGTCTTTCTCAGACCACAGTGATCTTTACAGATATAGACTAGCTACTGCACATTTAAAATTGTTCACGTAATTATAATGAAAGTAGCTTAAGAAGCATACATAAGCAACTCTACTTACTACAGGAACTATCTGATAAAGATGTCTATTATTACAGTGATCCAGCAAACGTTGCCTGGTAAAATTGGCTTCCTGACACAGGGGGCATTTGAAGGTTGGATGTCCACTGTAAACAGAAATACACAGTATTAAACAGAAAAGAGAGTTTTAGAAGTAGTGTTACAGAAAGCTTAATTCATCTGTAATCTTGTCATTATTTTCCCTTATTTTGATAACAACAAAAAAAACCCCCACCCTCACTGACATAATAGTGGATCTAATGGAGTTCCACTGCTACTTCCAAATGGCAATTTTAAAGCACATTTATTATTTGTACACCTAAACGCATTCTTCTGAGACTTGGACTTTAGAAAATTCTTTTGTTCCAATTGCAACTGCACCCTGTTCTTACTTACTGGTAAATTCTTTTAGTTCAAATCCTTCAGTAAAAGTAATGAAAAAAACCAAATTCTAATGTATATATACAAATGTAGAAGAAACTACAGGGTTTTTTCAATACAGCTTGTTGTAGGTGTTTGTGGGTTCTTTTTCAAGTTAGTATAAGCTTGCACTATGATTGTCTGGATCTATATTAATAGTAACTATAGAAAAATAAGCAGCCTACCTTGTTTCTCCTTGAAGTATTTGATTATTAGCCATCTCGCCATTATCAGATATTGCATCACTCCTGCTACTTTAAATGAAGAAAAAAAAAAAAAGAAAAAAATCCATTAAGTCCCATGAATTTCAAGGCAAAACATATAATGGCACATATTTTAACTCCCACAACTTTTCCTTTGATACGTCTCAGTATTTAGTTACCATGGTGACCCTTGGTGAAAATACTACACAACTTTATAGGAAAGTGGTATATAAGACAACAGACATTTAGTCCATAAGAATAGTAATGGACATTACAGCCAAGTAGCTCAAAAGGCATTATGAACAACATGAACGTAAGACAGGTAGCACTTTAAGTTTTTTGACTTAGGACTATGTAAATAGGCATTTAACTGCCATGTGTTTACACAAATAATTTACAACTTTCAACTACAGCAAGATAAGTTTGCTTATGCTGTGCACAAAATAAACTATTTCCTACAGTAAGAGTGACAGACAGGAACATTTTAGAAAGTAAATTTGACCATATATGCACCTCTAGCTAAGCCAGAAGAAACTGCTCAGACATGCTGATCATCCTAAGAACATGAATATTAACAGTCACAAATCTGGTCATGGTACATTTTTTATATTTCTGTAATATTATAAGCACAGGTATTCTACTGTGGCATAGTCAATAAATAGTGATATAACAGTATCCAGACACTTCGGTGGAACATAGAATAGAATAGACTAGACTAGTTCAGTTGGAAGGGACCTACAACGATCATCTAGTCCAACTGCTTGACTGATTCAGGGCCGACCAAGTCAAAGCATGTTATTAAGGGCATTGTCCGAATGCCTCTTAAACACTGACAGGCTTGGGGCATCGACCACCTCTTGAGGAAGCCTGTTCCCGTGTTTGACCACCCTCTCAGTAAAGAAATGTTTCCTGATGTCCGGTCTGAACCTCCCCTGGCGCAGCTTTGAACCATTCCCACACATCCTATCACTGGATATCAGGGAGAAGAGATCAGCACCTCCCTCTCCACTTCCCCTCCTCAGGAAGCTG